CTCGCCCCCGGCCCCAGCGCGGCGTCCCCGACACGTGGCCGCGGTGCAGGCCGGAGCTGGGAGGATCCTCACACTGACACCCACCGCTGCTGTGACACACAATCAGCTCAGCCAGGAGGATGGAGCCGCATTTACACACCAACCGACGAAATGAAGAAATATATAAATAGATATATAAATATAACTGTGTTTTTATGCTTTGTCATGAAGGTCTGTAAAAAGGAAAAAAAAAAAAAGAACAAACACACAATTTTCTAAAAAACCCATGCAAACAAAAACAACAAAAAAACCAAAATAATAATTAAAAAACCCTACAAAAATAAAACTCCAAGTCCCATCCCTCCCCGCCACCTGAACGGCAGACGTTTGACGCTCCTCTTTCACTCTAGGGTTTTGTTTCCTTTCTGTTTTGCACTACAATGGGATGGCGGTACTGGAGAGGATTGGATGCCAGCTCCACCCCTGTCGCCTCCTCCTCCTCCCCCCCTCCCAGGTCCTGTCTCTGGGGAGCAGTGTGGACAAGTCACATCTGACAAAGTTACCAAACACATCAGTCGACAGAAAAGCACTCTGAGTCAACAAACGTTTTCCATGTCACTGGTTGGCAAACAAAGAAAACAAGCCCAGCTGCGCTCTAACTGCGCTGTGTGGTGGAAAGGAAAGTGTGAGGCTTCATGTGGGCCCGCTGATTGCCCTCTGGACAGCTGAGACTGAGATGGACAAATTCGGGATTGGCTGGGATTACTGCTTGGTTCCCTAGCCCTTAGCCGTCGCTCCTTTCACCTTAACCCCTGTGCCCGCGACGACTCCCTTCACCCACATCCCAACTGTCACAAGGTTAGGTATGCCCAACGCCCGTTCTCCAGACCCCCACCACTGGTGACAACGCCCCATTGTCTGTGCCCAGCACCCAATTTCCTAACCACTACAGTCTTGCTATATGGGCCCCCTTCGATTCCCAGTCCATCGGCTCACACACCCACCCCACTAATTGATAGGGACTCCATTCAAATCCATGTGCCTGCATCCTACCAGCCAGTCCCAACATACAGCCCCACCTTTGCATCTTCAACCCTGTATTGTGCACCCTAATATTTACCCCCTATCCCAAGCGCTCACCTGATGATTCTCTAGGGATGCTCTGCTCTTTCTGGTTCCCAAGTAACTGGCAAACACTGTTCTGCAAAAGGCTAACTGTCAATAGAAATGCTTATTACTCCTGTATCGTCAGCAAACTCATAAACTGTTCCTTGCACCAACACTTCCTAAAGAAATACTCAAAGAGAACACGAAGGCAGCTCTGCTCTGTCCCCAGGGCATCAAGCCTGCCAAAGTAGATCCTTGGTGTTTTAGAGAGGTTTCAGATAAAACTCGTGGGCTACTGTCCACGGACAAAGACAGGATTGAGAATCAAACCCCCGAAGGGCATAAAAGTGAACAGCGGAGCAATCTGTACAGCCAACTTTATGTATAAAATCCAAAGTTCCCAGCCTCAGAGGAGATACGGTTGTGGACTCGGTATTCTGTCTCCAAGTTTGACTTGTATGTATGAAATCCATCACCAGTAAACAGCTGCGTTGATCCCAAAGGCCCCTTTCACCTAACACTTTTAGCCCTTGCATGGCTCTAGCTGATTATAGGTCTGTGTCTTCTTTAACGGGAAGCCCAAATGAGAAGGGGGG